AGTAAGACTCTCAACCAGATGGATTGACACAGTGACTGCAGCAATGGGCTAGACTGTAAAGACAGCACAGGATAGGACAGGATTTAGATCTGTTGTTCATAGGGTTGCTATGAGTCACACTCAACTCGAGGCCACCTAACAACAATAACCTTTTAACATAAAAGTTGAGAACGTAGTATTCTCATTGAGAATACTCCTAGACTTTCTGCCATGGGATTGCAAAACCAAAGATGGAATTGAGGTAGGTCAGAGATGGCTTCTACTGGGTCCCTACCCACTTCCTCTGGCTGGTGGTGGCATATGTGGATCCTAGACCAGGTGGAGTGCTCTGAAGGCTTCTGGGAAGCAAAAGTGGGCTTCTTGGAAGTGGGGCTCCTGTGAGGAGCGAGCACCCATCCGCCAGCATGTCCTGCGGTGACCTGCATTGCTGGGATGTTGGAAGCTAGCATGAGTATCTCAGATGCCAGCAAGGTCACCCATGTTGGACAGGACAGCTGGGAGGAAAGGCCTGGTGGTTTCCTTCTGTAAACAAGCTAGTGCACTTGACCCCAAGGGCCAGGCTGAAGCTGGCTTGGGATGTGTGATCAGGAGGGATCTGGACAAGTGAGGCTGAAGGGGATGCTCTGAGATGGACTGAACCAGCTGGTTGGGCTGGCACCCGGTGGCCAGTATTTCATTCTGTGGGACCTGAGCCTGGAGGCAGCCTGAGAGCAGCTGGCTGTTCCTTTAGAGGGGACCTGGGGCCTCAGGCAATGTGAGGACAAGGAGGAAGTGGGGGCAGTGGGGCCTTTCGGGGGAAAGATTTGGGCAGTCAAGATCTGGGGGCTAGGTCAGGGCACGAGGCCTGGAATTCTAGCTGGGATAGCGGGGGCCGCTGGGCTAGGGCTAGGCAGGGGTCAGAGACTCATTTCAGGACAAGTGGACCCAGGCTGAAGAGCTGGCAGTACTCTGAGGACACAGAACTAAGTGACCCCAGACCTCCACAGCTTGGGGGCTGCCCACAGCCCTGTCCCCACTTCATTCCTGTCCCTGCTTTGTGACCTCACACCTCTGCAGTGTTCATTCCTGTCCCTGCTTTGTGACCTCGCACCTCCGCAGTGTGGGGAAGGCCCACAGCTTCGTCCCCACCTTGTTCCTTTCCCTGCTTTGTGACCCTGCATCTCCCACAGCGCCATCTCCACCTTATTTCTGTCCCTGACCACCCTCCTCAGCTGTCAGGGCAGCTGCTGACTTTGAGCTTGGAGACCCATGGAGTACAAAGCCCAAGGAAGACAGGCTGAGTGGCCATCTCCAGGCCCCTGAGCCCCTCCAGCCGAGTCCCCCCCGCCACGATCTGTTTGCTCAGCTTCCCTGTCAGGGCCAGTGGCCTGGTCACCAGAACAACAAGTGGTGGGGCTACAGAAGGTAGCGTCCATCCAGCTAACATCATGTTCCAGGTAGCTTCACTGTCTTGCCAAGGGAAACCTACAAGCCACCCTCCTTTCATCCATTGGGCCTTGGCCTTCACGTCAAGGGCCCTGCATTGATGACCGCCACCTGTCCTGCCTCGGGGGTCACTGGTCCAGCCAACATCCTTTCCGCCCACACTCAGCTCAGTCACACTCAGATTACAAACACTCCTCACTTGCTGGCTGATGGCTCATGGCTGGTGCGGACACTGCTCAGTGGCATCCAGGGCATGTGACCCCCTGGCACCAGGACCTGAACAGGGCTCTCCCTGACCCGGGGTCCCACAGACACCCCCTCAGCTCACTACAGTCGTCATGGCCCATCATCAGGCCCACACCTGGAGAATGGGCTCCAAGTCCCCATCAGAAACGAGTGGTCTCAGTGGTAACCCCGGCATGCTTGGCTGGCTCCATCTGCCCAGGGTCATTGGGTCCTGGGGAGCTAAAAACTGCTGCCACTGAGGGAGTGTGTTGAAAAGGGATGCTGCCTTCCACAGCCACTCTGCCCACCTGGACTGATGGAGGCCTGGCACCCTTCTCTCTTCACAGCCTACCTTGGACAACAGAGTCCAGTTGCACCACCAGGGGAAGAAAGGGGAAGGGATGGGGGGCTGTCTGTGGATCTGGCCATACCCTCTACACCCTGTTAGTGGTAAAAGCTCCTGTGTTGTTGTCAAATGCCCCAGAGTCGCCTCTGCGCCACCACACACGCCTGCTGGACTCCTGTGCTGTGATCAGCCTACCTTATACAGGGTCCTTGCTGACCCCCTACCTATAACAGAGCTCTGCTGGTGTAGTCAGCCAGTCTTCTCTGGTGGTTCCCATTCCCCAGCAGCCTGATGGAGAAGAGCTATGTCCTCCCGGGTGGCTGGCAGCCTGGAAACCCGCTGGAGGGCCTGCTGTGAGTCAGCTCTGACTCCATGACAAGGACTTGACTCTACTGGAATGCCACCTGTCCATAACCTGTCCTGGGGGCATGCCTGTCATCACATACCAGCAAGGTCACCCCTGGTGGGCAGGCATCTTAGTTTGCTTCATTAGTGAACGCTGCTGTAACAGGAATACAATACCAGAAGTGGGTGGCTTTAACAGAAATGCATTTTCTTGTAGTTTGAAAGCTCCAGGGTGTAGGTCATCACTCCAGAACTGTCACAGCTTTCTCCCACAGAGTGACTGGAGGGTTTGAACCATGGACCTTTGGGTTAGGAGCCAAGGATACCAACGAGCAGTTCTACCAGCTCTCCTTTTATAGAAAGGTAAATTGTTGTTATGCATCTCTAAGTGTGAACCGACTCATAGCTGACTCATAACTGACTCCATCAGCTTTTCAGAGGCTGCATATGGAACGGGAGGAGTCTCCTCATCTTTCTCTCATGGAGCAGCTGGTGGATTCAAACCACCTGCCTTTGGGTTGGCAGCAGAATCCCTTACCACTCACTAGAGCTCCCTACCCTGACAGCACTGCCCAGAGGACAGGCACACATTCTCCAAGGGGAAGGGCCAGCTCTTGGCCATGCCTCTCTCAACACTGGCCCTCAAACCTCAGCTCAAGACCATTGGGGCTCAGGCCAGGCTGCAGCCAGAGTGTCAGGAGCCCACCCATGTGGTCCACTCAGCCGCCCCCTGTCCACCTGTCGTCACAACTAGGCCACAAGTCTGACCATTCTCACCCACGGTCTGCTCGTCTCTCACCCGTCCAGACTGCTCCATGTGCCCTACATGGCCTGTCCTGGCCCCCCAGAATGAGTGTGACCCACTTGTGTGTCTTCATGCCAGCAAATGACGACTCTAAAATGCAGCCACAGCCAGTAAGGTGGACAATCTGGTAACTTTAATGCGTTTTCTGAGCACACAGCCCTCCTTCCTCCCCTACCTGGACCAGGGGGCTATGCCTGATTGTGGTTGGGACACAGCCTGTCTGCATTGGGCAGTGTCCAGACCCAACCACTGGGGACACAGGACGTGGCTGCTCGAGTGCAGAACTGCATGGCTGGGACGGTCAGCAACCAGGGCAGCAGGACACGGAGCAGGACCCACGGTGGCTCTGCAGAGAGCACTGTCCTTCCAGTATCTCGAGGGAGCAGTCACTCAGTGCCTGGACATCACACGTCCCCACAAGTGAAAGCGACATAGGGATCAACACACTGCTTTCCAAAATACTGTGACAAATGAAACCACAAGTCACAGGTCCAGATGAGGCTGGCTTGCCAGGTTCCACAGCTGATCTGCCAGGGACCAGCTCTGGGCTGGAGGCCCTGGACACGGACGGGACAAGGAATGGTCCAAGATGTGGCACGTGCTCCATAGCTGAAGTGGGTGCAGGACCCTGGACATGTGCTCTGGGCTAGAACCGGAAGTGAGGCCTGGAACCAGGAGGGGGTGAGAGCTGGAAGTGGGTGCAGGATGTGGGATATGAGCTTACTATCTAGAACCAATGTGGCCACAGAGTCTGGACCTGGAAGTAGGTGCACAACCTGAATATGGGCACAGGTTTAGAACCAGAAGTGGGGGTCTGGTCCAGGTGGGTACAGGGCACAAAGCCTAAAACATTAAGCGGGTTCCTGCGGTCACCTCAGTCCCTGCAGGAGCCCCGGTCCCAAGCCCACCACATGCAGAATGTTCTGGGAACCTGAGAGACAGCTTCGATGACAATGGAGCTGGCGCCCAGGGGAAGACACAGGGCTGCCCAGATGCAGATGTCCAATGAGAACACTCTAATATCTTACTAGGAATCTGAATCTGTTAGGAAAAAAATTAAAAACTATTTATAAAACTTAAAAATATTCAAGTATCAAAAGATTGTTTGGATCAAAGTTTAAAGCAGGCTGCCAGCAAGCAGCTGCCAAGGAGGAACGTTTACAAAGGGGAGTGAGCGTCAGGCAGGGGTGGGGCGCCGAGGCAGGAGCCAGGCTTCTCTAGGCCCAGGACGGGTGGGTGCTCCTTGTACAACAAGCTGTCCAGTGCGTGGTCTGGACTCTCCCTCCAAGTCCAGCCTGTGGACAGCTTGCAAATCCACACAGGGTTGCCTCCAAGGGGCAGAGAGGGAACCAGGAAGCCACGGGACAGATGGGGCCTTTTCTGCACGAAACCCTCTAGGAAACGAAGGGGGAGGGGCGTGAGAGGGGCTCCCACATGACACAGCTTTTCAACCCTGCCACGGCCCTGGAACATGTCCAGTCAGGAATATGCAAGGCCCACCCGTGGGGGTCAAGGCTGTGGCCCCCAAGGAGAAAGCAGCAGCAGCAGCGTTTATTCAAGACACAAGTGTGTCCTTTGTCCCCAGGAAGGGTGTGTCCTGAAGAGGAATCCAGTAGAAATCTTTTAAACTCTGATAAATTAGGTTTACAAAATCCACCACAGTGGTGGGCAGTGGGCTGTGCAGGCAGACACTGAGACACTGCTGGTCTGTGTGCCCTCTGCCGGGCAGCTGAAGAACCACAACTGGAAGGCCTGCCTGGTCCCTTGGGCCACCTTGTGGTCACTGTCTCTGAGCAGCTGGCTAAACGACACTTGGAGAAGGTCTTCCCGCTCTGTGAACGGTCCATACTGTCCTTAGACTTCGGTGGAGAAAAGTATGCTCTGTCGTTTGCTGTCCGGAGCAGGGATGGCCTCCAGCTGCAGGAAGTACAGCAGCACCTGGACCTGCGAGGGAGGACAGGGGCTCAGGGAGGTGCTCATGGCCACAGGGAGAGCTTCTTGACCTGGCCCACCCACAGCTCCTGCATACAGAGCCCACCGCAGAGAAGGGCTTCCTGAAAAGGCTGGCTGGACCCCCAGAAGCCCAGCAGGTTTCAGAGGGGACAGTGGACAGCGGCAGCCCGGGCCTGCTCACCCATACCCTCATGCAGCCGAGGGCAGCCCCCCTCAGTGCCCAGGGGACTGACCTGGGCCATGACCTCCAGGGACCAGCTGTCGGTCATGGCGAAGGGCTGGCCGGGCGTGGTGGGGGGCTTGTTTTCCTTCTCCGAGGGCCGGAGCAGGGTGGGGCCGAAGACAGTGGCCAGGTTGTGCAGGGACATCTTGTTTACCACCTCCTTTTCTGCCACCCTGCAGGGGCCCAAGGTGAAGCTTGATGAGGGAGGGCCTTGGAAAGGAAAGGGAAAGCCCTGGGGAGGGAGAACCCTGGGGAGGTAGAGAAGGGGAGGTGGCCTGTGGGAAGGAAGGGCAGGCGAGGGAGGACCCTGGGGAGGGAGTGTGGGCTGGGGAGGGCCCACTGAGAGGGGAGGACACTGAGGAGGGAGGGTGTGGGTGAGGGAGGACCTCAGGAGGAGGGAGGACCCTAGGAGGAAGGAAGGTGGGCTGGAACAAAGACTACACAAAAAGGATGGAGGTCTCCAAGAAGGGAGGGTAGGGAAGAGGATCCTGGGGAGGGGGAAGAAGGGTGTGTGGCAGGCAGGACCCTAGGGGCCTGGCAGGAAGAGGTTCTGGTTGAGGGAGGGCCATGGGGAAGCGAGGGCCTAGTCAAGAGTCCTGAGAAAGAGTGTTCCCAGGGAGGCAGGGCCCCCATGGGAGGGCTGGTCTGTTGAGGGAGGGTCTTGGGGCAGATAGCCATCGTCCTGGCTGTGTTGAGGGAGAAAGAAAGGTATTCTTGTGCCCAGAGCACAGGAAGGGTTGGGGACCTGAGCACTCAGAAGCTGAGGGAGCAAACGCTGGCGTGTGGGGACCGATGAGTGACTACCTCTTGAGGTGATCCAGCAGGAAGTGGAAGGTGAGAAGGTTGGGCTCTGGGAGTGACAACAGCAGGTTCTGCATGCAGCTGTCCTTTGCAACGGGGTCTGAAAGAGCTGCAGAAATGGGAGGTCAAACCCCATCTGGGCAGCAGCACATGGGCCCCCATGGGGTGGTGCCACCAGAACCCCTGGCCTGTGTCTCTGAGGGTCGGCACCTCCAGCCATGGTGGAGCAGCACAGGATACGCCCTCCTGGCTGCATCCCGGCCCTGACCCCACTCCAGTCAGGCTCAGTGGCATGACTCTTACTTCCCATGCAGAGACCATGTTCGGGTCCTGACCAGGGCATCTCACTACAGTCTCAACTAAGTGGAGGCTCCATGACACTCAGGCCGAGTGACTTAGAGGAGCTTCCAAACTGAATGCAAAGACGAGCAAGACTGGATAACAGCCCTGGGCAGGGGTGAGGAGAAGTCGAGGGACAGGACTATACGACAACGCAAAGCTGCCCCCTAAGGGTAACTCAGTCACACTGCCCCATGGCCTGTGCTATCCTGTGGCTTCCAAGGCCTCATCAGTGCAAGCAGGCTTCTGGAAGGGGCAGTCCTGTAAGGGTTGGCAGGGACCTTGCAGAAGGGGCTTGGCTCGAGGGTGGAAGTGGGGCTGCACTCACCAATGCCCTCGGCGAAGTTGGGGTACAGCTCATCGGTGAAGAGGGGCTCAGGAAGCTCCCGGAAGTAGAGCTTGAGCGTGCCAGCAATGGCGTTGACGTCCATCTCACTCATCATCACGGACACATCCTTGTTGTCTGGAAGAGGCCCCCCCCCCACCCCGTGCTGCTGACCACAGGCCCTTACCAGGAGCCCCGCCCATCCTCAGCCTGGGAGGGTTGGGTGGAAAGTCCTCCTCGCTGACCTCTGCTCCCCGACCTCAGTGCCCTCTGTTCTAACACCCTTTGCACAGCGCTGCCCTGGGTCAATGACCTCATGACGAGGCCGCCTGCACTGAACTACCCCCAGGTGGCTCCCTATCTCACCCAGGATGCCTGTGCCGAGGGCCTCACACCCCAGCCTCAGCATGACCTGGTGACAGCAGGGCACAGAATTACTGGTTTCACCTTTAGGTCCCTTGGGCTCAGGTGCTACAGCCACCCACATATATGGGGTCCCTTGGGGTGCCAGGCTCGCATGGGCTCCAGCTTGGAAGGTGGGATGCTCGTAGGCGAGTGTACAGCCAAGCTAGAGGGCCTATGTGGGACACAAAGGAGGGCCTGCTGAGGTGCTGGTGGCCTCATGGTAACTGGAGCTCCCCAATCACTCGGTGGAGTAAATGGGTGAGGCCAGAGTGAGGACCTGGTGTCCCTGCCTCACCAGCCCACCTGGGGGCAGATGCTCAGAGTCTTTTCCTCTGAGAGAGCCTGACTCCTTGCCCCCCACCTTTGGCTCCTACCTCACTGCACCCCACCTGCCTCACTGATGCCCCCTTGCCAGCCCACACACCGCAGCCACACTCACTGACGTCGAAGGCTGCCTTCAGGGCCTGGATGTCCGTGGCCACTCCGGACACTCGGTAGATGCCCACCTCCTCCATGCCACGCCGCTCGATCTCCTCCACGCACTGGCGCACGATGTACGGCACCTTGGACCTCTCCCTCCTGCGGCAGGCAATGACCCCTCAGTCAGTACCAGGGCTGCCTCAACGGGGCGCTGTCAACACGAGGGCGGGGACTACACCCTCAGTACCGGGGTCCCCACAGGGCACTGTCAATCCAGGGGCAGGGATTGCACACGGTCAGTCCTGAGGATCCCCACAGGGTGCTGCAATCCTGAGGGTGAGGTGGGGATGGCACCCTCAGTCCTGGGGTCCCCATGAGGTGCTGTTAAGAGGGGGTACTATTTGCTTTAAGGGCTCTCAATGAAGAGAAGCAATGGCCGCTGAGGCCCTGCCATCCTGGCGAGGTGGGAAGCCACACATGGAGCTGGTGCTTGGCCAGCACCAAGGTGCCCACGAGGTCCAGGAGCCGAGTCCACTCACAGCCGACACAGAGGCTTCTCTCTGCTGCCAGGAGGCCTGCGGGCCATGGGCTTGGCAGGCCACCTCCTTCCTTCAGCGCCCTGTCATCTACCTTCCCTGAGCTCCGGGAACAGCCCAGATTCTGGCTCCATCCCAGGCCCTGAGACATGGACATGACAGAGACATGGTCCCCACGCTGCCTCCTGGCCTTGGGGCCAGAGATGCTTGAGTGATAGAGAGGGGTCCCTCAACAACTAAGAGTCTGGGAGGAAGCAGCCTGATGCCCCAGGCCTGGGCCTAAACCAGTCAGTCCTCTGCTAACCCCCACTCCCCCAGGCCAGCGGGACACTGCTCAGCAGGGACAGCAGCAACAAGCAGAGAAGACACCCCCCCCCACCAGGTCAGCTTTGAGCCCCGCCCCCCTTACTTAGTGACCAATGCGATCTTGACTCCAAACACCCCGGTCTGTTTCCGGGACGGCATCCTCTTGAGGCTGAATTCTCTGCTCGTAAACTTGAGGGACAGCTTCACATCCACCTGCAGTGAGAAGGCAGCCGACCCTCACTCTTCGTCCACACAGGTGGGCTCTGTGTCAGGCAATCTGCCAGCCCGTCCCACTCCCTCTTAACAGAGGTCCACCAGAAGGTTCGGACTAGCTAAACCACAGCTCCCAGCCATCTGGCCAAATACCAGCAGTTGCTATTCCCCAGGATGACCGTGGACGTCCAACCCACAGGGGTCTCCGGCCATCTGCTGACCTCTGGAGTCAGGACACGCCACCCATAGTCACATATGGCAACCCTGGAAGCAGCTCTCCCTCATCAGTGTTTCCCTAGAGAACCCCAAGTCCCCCCCAGTTATCATAGGATAACTCTGGTCAGGGCAGCACCTCTGGCATCCATTGACACCCTCTTTGGGAGGCGGGGGTAGACGCTAAGAGGGGTGTGGTCTCCAGGCGCAGGCCTGGGTCCGTGGCCTGGGGTGTCACTGGCTCTTTTCCATATCAGCTCTGCCCACAGTCAAGCAGGACTCCCTCCAGGCCTGGTCTGTTTGGCTGAGATGCCCAGTTTGTTTTGCAGGTCCCTCCAGTCTAGCCTGCGTGAGCCCTATGACCATAGGAGAGGAGTCAGGCACCCCAAGAGGTGCTGGCCACCTACCCCATTCATGCCAACGACTGTCCGCTGCCAGTCCTTGTCCTGTAGCATCTGAGGGTCCAACTGCAACAAGGGGTTGTGATTAATGGACACTAGGCCAGGCAGCCCATCCCAAGAGTTATTCCCCACCCAAAGATGAGCGGAGTGGGACTGGACAGTAGCTTGTATCTCCAGTCACAGGCCAAGGGGCTCTACAAGGACCCCTGGGGCCTCCCACGGTCCAGACAAAGGTCCTGCTGCAGGTCAGAACTCCTGTAATGTCCATGCCCAGGAAAACACAGGTCTGCACACTGCCCACTGCTCGTCCTCTACTTCCCCATTCCAGGGCCTGGGTGCAGGCTGTGTGGGCTCACTCACTCTCAGACACGAGCACTCATGCATTATTATCCTAGGGCCCTGATGCAGCCTGGGCATGCATATATATCCATGTTAGCCCAGGCTTGCACACTGCCTGCCCTCCTCCCCCATCTCAGGGGCCTAGAGTAGGCAGGACATATGTGCACACACAAACACACACTAGCACTGTTATCCCAGGGTGCAGGCTGGACATATGCACACACTATCCCAAGGCCCAACTTTTCTGTTAGCCGCTGAGTTAACAGTCCCCGCCTCTAAATTAGCATCTGGAAGCCTAAGTGGTGATCAGAGTTGGGGAGCGGTGCACCAGCCACCTGCCCCTGACTGGAGCCCACCCCAGTGAGCTCATCAGGCCCCTTAAAACACACATGGGACTCACTGCTCCACACCAGGCTCGGCCCCTGGGGTTGCTCTCTCCCCTGGAGATCTCTCATTCCACAGGGTGTCCCTCACTCCACTGAGAGGCTCTCATTCTCTGGAGGAGCCCCTCATCCTCTCACACACTAAGCATTTGCTCCCTTGCCATTCACAGGATGGCATGTATAGATAGACGGACAAGTGAGAGGCCAGTGAAGTCCTGGCTGACTCAGGTCCTCCCTGGCTGTATGCCTCATTTTTCCCACTGAGGCACCAGCCCTGCATCTGGAGAGTACTGGAGGGTCTGGAGGTGGGCGCAAGGCAGGGGTGGCGGGGTGTCCCAGCGGGGGTCGGCTCTGCCCTGGGAGTCTCACCTGGACCTGGCCCTTTCCCACGAGGCGGTCTGCATTCTCTCCATCCTCCTTGTTGATCTTGCTTTTGTTGTAACACTTTTCATAGCACAGGATCCGTAATGTCTGGGAGCCCTCCAGCTCAATCTCAAACTCCTACAACCCAAATGAGAGAAAGCCTTAGTTCACAGACTGAAACAGTGGATAGTGCTGCTGGTCAAGGCGGTGTCTCCAAAGATGACAACACTGCTGCCCAAAGGGCCTGACCCAACTCCTTTCAGGCATGTGAGAATGTGGGACCACCTGGTGGTATACGGGGGCACAAGGAGATATACCAAGACCACGTGGTGCTATTGCGGGGACCACCAGACAGTGTATGAGTATATGTGGTGGGATACAGGGCACGAGGTCACATGGACGTGGTGACAAGGAGGGACTGCCTGGCAGCACACTGAGACATGCAGTGGCATATGGGGACCACGTGGTGGCATGCAGGGATCACCCAGTGGCATATGGGAACACGTGGATTCATACGGGGCGTGAAGTTGCACTATGGGGACCACATGGTGGCATGTGAGTACACCACTTCCACTTAGACCCAAACTAAACTCAGCTCAACACCTCACAGAATGAACCCCACCCCACCCCACCCACACCTCCAGGAGCCTGCTAACCACTCAGACCTCATGACATTTGGGCGGACGTAGAGAGCATGTGCTAGAAGCACAGGTCAGCCTGCATATGGGTCCACTGGCCCCAAGCTCCCTACTGGCACGTCCTGCACTGCCACACTGTGGATCCCCACTGGCTGGCACAGGAAACCTAGGCACAGTGACCAAACCTGTGCCTGGCCACGTGTGCTGGTTCACAGCCTTCTATCTCCACTCCCACCACCCCATCACGACCATGGTCTCTGCCTGACCAGCCTTCGCCATGTCCACTGAGCCCTCTGTCTCTGCTGTGACTGTCCATTATCACCACATCCACCTGGCCTTCTGTCTCCACTCTGAACACCTATCACCATGTAGCCACTGCTCTGTCTCTGCTGCGACCGCCCATCATCACTGTGTCCTCCTGGCCCTCAGTCTCCAGTGACCACCAATCACCTCGGGTCCACTGGGCTCTCTGTAGAGAACTCCAGGTTAGATTCTCAGGTCTCAGGACAAGCAGGGATCCCTGGTAGACAGGTTGCAGCAGGGGCTCTAGAAGCCAAGGCAGCAACTCAGTCCATGAGCCTCCCTCAAGAGCTCATCCGAAGAGGAGACCCCACCGGTGGATGGCCTCACCTCGTTCCAGTTGGGCTCAGCCGTGTCCCTGTACACCCGGGTCTTGGCTTTGTTCACGAAGTACCCGAAGGAATCCACCTCCAGAGTGCAGTACAGACCTGCAGAAAGTGGGCAGAGTGTAGCTGCACCCCCACATTCCTACGCTGGCCCTGGAAAGCATCTGGAAAAAGTAACCTTCTTCCCTAAATGAAAGTCAGGTTGGCAGGGGCCCAGTCTGACCCAGTCTCCATGAGTCGAGTGAAACCCTGACCTCGGCCACTCTGCACACTCTGGGAGGAGCACCTCCACCGCCAGGCCTGTGGGAGCACGGTGACTGCTGCTTAGAGGCTAGCTGGCCCAGCCTAGGCAGGCTTGGGGGAATGGCAGTGTGGGGCAAGCTCGGGGCAATGAGTAGTTCAGACAACCAGCTGCCGAGAAGCCAGCCCACAAGTGTCAGCGCAGAACTCCACCTCTAGAGCTTTTCATGTCTCTACCCACTGGAGTTCTCAATGGTGTTTACGTAGAACTCCACCCCTGGAGTTCTCAATGGCTGTCAGTGTAGAGCCCTGCCTCAAAGTTCTCAGTGACTGTCAACACAGAACCCCGCCTCCTACAGCTGTCAAGGGCTGCGCCAGCGCAGAACCCCACCTCCTACAGCTGTTAAGGGCTGCGCCAGTATAGAACTCCACCTCTGCCGCCTAGAATTCTCAACAGCTGCCAGAATGGAACTTTACCCCCCTAGAACTCTCAACGGCTGTCAGTGCAGACCTCTGCCCCTGGAGTTCTTAATGACAGCATCATAGTAGAACCCCGCCCCCTGGAGTCTCAACAGTTGGGTCAGTACAGAACCTCCTCCCCCCCCCCCCCCCCCCCCCCCCCCCCCCCCCCCCCCCCCGACTTCCCAACCACCCCCTAGAGTTCTTTACTGGTCACTTGTAAAGGAGACTGACAAGCCTTTTCTCAACATTTCCTTTCACTTGGGTCTACAATCAGTGCCCACAGAAACAGCAGTCAAAAATCAAATGACATATTGCAGTGAGCAAATCTGCTGCCAAGGAACTCTTTAAAAATACCGAAAAAACCAAAGATGTCCTTTGAGGACTCAGGTGTGCCATGGTGTTTCCAGTTGCTTTGTCAGTGTTGAGAAAACTGGTCAGTGAATAAATAAGGAAAAAGAGATCCCTTTGAATTACTGTGCTCATGAGAAGTACTCAGTATGCAAAGGACCATGGCAAAACCAACCTTGTCAGAATAAACTTGACTACAGTGAGGTTTTTGGCCAGAAAAACAAATAAAACCAATTTTGTCTTGAGAGGTGTACGGTCAAAATGCTGCTTAGAAGGTGGAGAGCCTCTTCCTCACATATATGCCCAGAAGCTACTATCCCCTCATGTCTCAGGAGAGGGCAGTCCCTGCGGAAGGACAGTAAGCCTGGTAAAAAAAGAGGGTCAGCAAAAAAGAGGATGACCGTACAGAAGATGGACACCCTAGTGACCGCACTAATGATCTCAGACATGGAAATGACTGCGGGGATGAAGGGACCAGGTAGCGTTCCGTTCCCTTGTACACAGGATGCTGTGAGTCACAACTGACCTCGATGTTTGCTCACAGCAATATGAGTTGGAACAAACTTGGACTTGATGGCACCCAACAACAACGATTAAGGAAAAGACCAGAGTCTTTTCAATGTCCATTAGCTACGTGTATCTCTGCTTTGGTGAGATGTCTATCCAAATCTTTCTCCCACTTTTCTCCAGTCTACTTAACATGGAGATTGGGAAAATGTTCTTCACACATTCCTGACACAGTTCCTTATCAGACGTGTGGGTTGGAAATATCTCCTTCTGTTAGAAGCCTAGTGGGGACTCTGGTTTTGTAGGACAGTGTAAATGGTTACCACAAGTGGCCGCTAACTGAAAGGCTGGCAGTTCAAGTCTTCACAGAGGCACCTCAGAGCAAAGGCTTCGTGCTCTACATTACCAGCTCCTGTGAGCCCCCGGAGCACAGGTCCACGTGTACCCGCAAGACCGCAGGACTGAGCGGAGTCGACCTGACTACCCCAGGTGGTACACATGCCTGGCCCTGGCTGACGAGGCACACCCACAAGGGCAATGTCCACTCAGGGTGCAGTTCCACACCAGGGATGCCGGCAGCACCATGGCCAGGGTCAAGGCTCAGCCCTCGCCTGGGGGACACCCACACTCTCCCCACCACCTTCTGTCCAGACCTGCTGCTTACTTGAACTCTGCTTAAATCCTGTGGCCGAGTGGACGATGACATTCAGGAACCCATAGAGCCCTGGAGACTCGTCATCTGTGTGAGAGAGCACAGTGTGAGAGGGGCGCTGGGGTGGGCTCTGCCTCCATGTGCCTCCCTGGGCCCCACATGGCCAACACCTGCCACACACCCAGCAGGTCAAGCCCACAGGCAGTCCTTCTGAGGTCACAGTCTCTGTCTTAACGAAGGGCTGGATCTTGCTGGGGACACACACATGCAAATAGTGGAGCATGAGTAAGTGGGATGTGGCTACAAGGACAGAGATGGGCCCAGAGTGACAGCGGGGCGTGGACACAGTGTGTGCATGTGCAGTCAGAGTGATCACCTGCACGTGTGACTGGGAGCAAGTATGCACATACACGTGTGTGTACAATGGAAGCACAAGTATGTGCACACGTGTGTGTGCACGAGTATATGCACAATGAGCACATGTACGTGCGTGTACCCGTGTGTACACTGGGAGGCCAGGTGTGCGTATACTGAGAGTGTATTTGTGAGGACATAGTAAGCATATGTGTTCATGCCAGCGTGCACACATTCTGTGTGTACACTGGGAGCACACGTGTGTAAACACTAGGAGAAGGCAAGTGTATCCCTGTGCATGTGCTGTGAGCACAACGTGGATTCCAGTGGACATGTGCTGTGCAAAGGTGTGTGACAGAGGAGCCCGTGAGGGGCGAGGGACAAGGGCGGAGGGGTAGATGCAGGGGACGGCAGATTGAGGGGGGCGCAGCCTCACAAGCGAACAACAGTCACAGACCACTGGACCCCACGTCCAGCTGTCTTGACCACCCACACTGGCCTCCACTCCCAAGAGCTGTGGGCAGCAGTGATGCTATCCCCAAGAGCCCACTGGACATGGGGACAGCAGAGAGGAACGCCCAAGCCCATTGCCCACCTTCTTTGTTGATGGTCAGTGGGATGTTGTGGACAGTCTGGAGTTTGACACACGAGTTGGTCAACATCTGCAGCTCCACTGAGGTCAGAGAGAAGCTCTTGAAGCCTGAGGGTGGAGACAGAGGCAGTGACCAGCTGTCCCGTGGACACTGCACCATGGGACTCGGCGACCCTCCTTCACAGGAGCATTATCACCCCGCAGGGCAAGGCTCAGCCCCCTGGTTGGAGGCCAGCAGGCACGGGGGACACTCAGGCTGGGCCTCAGGGGCTCCAGAAGGTGGCCTGGGGCATCATCATGGGAGGATCACAGACAGCAGCATGGGGAAGAAGAGGGACTGAGCACAGGACTGCTGCCTGTGTATTTGGGTTCCTGCACTGTGGTGGACACCCTGGGGCAGGGCACGGGCATGGACACAGGCACTGGCCGCCAGGAAGCCAGTCCTGCTTGGATCAGGAGCCAGCACTACAGCACAGAAACAGTCCAGAGGGCAGTGGCTGGTACAGGAGGGGAACAGAGAAAGGCGGGGATGGGGAGGGCAGTGGGGGGTATGAGGGGGAAGTGGGAGTCACAGGGGAAGGAGACAGGGGTACAGGGGAAGATAGGGATGGGGAGGGCAGCAGGGGTACAAAAGAGGTAGTGGGTATGGAGAGGGAGGTGGGGGGTACAGGGGAGGTGGGGATGGGGAAGGTGATGGGAGGGAGGTGGGGATATAGAGGAGGTGGAGGGGTACGGGGAGGTAGGTAAAGTACAGGGGAAGGCAGGGATGAGGGTGTTGAGTGGTACAGAAAAGGGAGGTGGGGTACAGGACAGAGAGGTGGGGGATACAGGAGAGGCAGGGTCGGGGAGGGCAGTGGGGGTACAGAAGGAGGTGGGAATGGGGAGGGCAGTGGGGGGTACAGAGGAGAGAGATGAATGTACTGAGGATACAGGGTCTGGGAGGGGAGTGAAGGGTACAGGGGAGGCAGGGAGGGTAGGGAGGAGTACAGGGAAGGGGGACAGAGGGAGTTCGGTGGGAGTATAGGGGAAGCAGGGATGAGGAAGTGGTTGGAAATAAGGGGAGAGGTTGGTGGTGGGCACAGGGAAGGCGGGGAAGGAGGGAGGTGGGGAGGTATAAGGGGCCAAGGATGGAGAGGGTGGCGGGGGTACAGGGTTTGCAGGGATGGTGAGGGCAGTGGGTGGTACAGGGCAGGGGGGATGAAGAGAGTGGTGGGGGTCCTGGGGAGGGAGATGGATTTTACAGGCAATGTGGTCTTGGAGAGGGCAGTAAGGGGTACAGGGGAGGCAGGGAGGGTGGTGGGGGTACAGGAGAGGTAGGGGCAGTGGGGATGGAAGGGGGGTAGGTACAGGGGAGGGAGGTTGTGGAAACAGGGAGGAAGAGGTAGGAAGTGAGGCAGAGACAGGAAGGGAAGTGGGGGCCCCCAGCACAGTGCCTCTCCATGTGCCAGCCTCCATCTAGAGTCTCAAGTGAAGGGCCCATGGCCCATCCCTCTGGACAAGGCCCAGAAGGCCACGGCCCAACCCTCGGGACGAGGCCCAGGGGACCCCAAGGAATTGTAGGGGATCCCAGGGCCCACAGGCGCAGCACTCACACTTCTTCTGTTGCTCCCGAATGTTCTCCCTCCACTCAGAGCGCTCATAGTCAGATGAGATGAGGAATGTGTAGCTCTGGAAGAAAGAGGACAGTTAGCTGGTCAAGCCCGTTCCGCCGTGGGGATGAGCACGTCCTCATCACTGACCACGTCTATGCCTGTGCACGCACACGGTGCCCACACCTCCACGTATATGCAGGCATACATGTACATAGGCAGACAGCAGAACAGACAAGTGTACGCAGTGCATAAACACAACAGGCACATGTACAGACAGACACACAGGACACACGTGTACACACACTGCATACTCGCACATGGGTACACGTGCACATACCTACTGCACACTCACAAAAGCACACAGGTACATGCACTCATAGTGCACACACTGACACAGTCTCACACAGGCTCCTGTGTACACACATATACACACACGGGCCCACATCTATGCATGTGGCCACACAGGGGAGGGCATGCAAACACAGACACACGCATGCACACAATACAAATACACACATAAGCAATCACACAGGTGTGTATGCACAGATACACACTTTACATACGGATGCAAGTATACAAACAGGCAAGCACATATATACACCTACAGACATGCACAGCACATACACAGAGCGATGTGCACATGCTGGGGGAGGGTCAGGGGGAGGAACAGTGGAAGGATTGGGAGGATGTTGGGGGAGGGCTGGAGTGATGCAGGGGGAAGGTCATGGGATGCCAGGAGAGTAAGGGCTGCTGGAGGGGGTCAAGGGATGCTGGGGGAGGTCAGGGCTAGGGGAGGGTCTGGGGAATGCTGGGGGAGGATTGGAGGATAATGTGGAAGGTCAGGGAATGGTGGGGAAGGAAAGATGCTGGGGGAGGAGAGAGGAAGCTTGGGGAGAGGGAATGCTGGAAAAGGAGGGGGATCCCCACTGGGGAAAGGGAGGGGAATTCTGTGGGAGGGCCAGGATGCTGAGGGAAGCTTAACCCCCAGAGGCACATTACAGTGAGGGCCAGCAGAGGTGTGGAGCTGTAACTGAACCTGAGACAATGGTCAGTCTGCTGACCGCTCCCCAGCCACGTTCTGTGCGCTGAAAGGCACCACCGTGCCCACACCGGGAGGCCAGGCCGGAAAGCACAGAGACCCACACCCAGAGGACCGGCCTCCAGACACCAGTGCCAGCCCCATGCGGAGGGCTGCACATGGAGGGCTTCAGGCAGACCAGCCAGCTGGACTGCAGACCTGAGAGTCAGACACAGGATGTGCACTGAGTGAGGAAACGGATGTGCATGGACTGTGGGCATTTCAGCATGACGGTGTGTGCACACACGTATGTCTATGTGGAGTGTTCACAGCGATACATGGGAGTGAATGCACTTCTGTGTGTGACCATGTGCGCATGTGTAACTGCACGTTTCTATACATGTAAGTGCATGAGTCCAGGGAGCGTGTGTGCAGGTGTATGTCTGTGTACTTGAGTGTGCATGTCTGTGTGCCCACATGTATGTGCACGTATAGATACCAGTAAACGTGTATGTGGAAGTGTCCGCAGATGTGTATGTCTGTGTACATGTGTGTATGTCTGGATAGGAGAGTGTATGCACGTGAGGGCATGTTTATGCGTGTATATAACTATGTTGCTGTATACATGTGTGAGTGTACGTCTGTGAATATGTGTATGTGTGTTTAAGTGTATGCCGTCTGTAAGTGTACAGACTGTGAATGTAAGCCCGATTGTGTGTGTGCGTGAGTGCAGGTGCATATCCGTGTAAGCCTGCATACATGTTCATGTATGTACGTACGTCCATGTGTGCAGGTGTGCCCTGATGAGCTAATCAGCATGAGTCACGCACGTGCACACAGCTGTCCACACATGTCCATAGGTGTGCATGTTCACTTGTCTGTGGACACACACCTCTCAGTGTGGGTGCTCTCAAGAGATGGAGGGCTGAACAGTTACTGGGACCACGCCCCCCCCACAGGCTGTGGGCTGCGCTTACCACCCACCTTGCCATTGCGGCTGTGCACACGGAAGGCCATGTTGGGAGACATCAGCAGCAGCAGCGACTCCTGCTCTGACAGCTTCTTCTTCAGCCGCTCCATGGCCTTGCTGCCCTTGTTGGCTTTCTACAGAGAAAGAGGTACTCAGTGGGGTCTTCACAGGGGCAGTGGTGCTGGTCACTCAGTCCCCTCCTCAGTCCACAGAGCCTGGTGTCGACTACAGACAGCACAAGCCCTTGGAGGGATGTCATTCTGACCGAATGGCATCAACGCATGTCAGAGCAAACCTACTCTGCAGGGTCTGCCAATAGCTGACTTTTCAAAGTAGACTGATGGCCAGCCCTTTGCCCTGCCGGGACTCTGGGCAGCCGGGAACCATGAAACTCTGGGTTAGCAACCAGGGCGTCTCCTGTTTGTGTCACCCAACAATTCTGTCAGAGCCAAAGCTCCAGCACCGCACCACAGGCCACACTGCTGGGGCCTAGGGCAGCTGTTTCTTGTCCAGCTACCCCTCCTGAAGGGCAAGTGCCCTGACCAGCTGACAAAAGGGCTTGACAAAGCCTCACACCTGCATCCAGATCTCATAGGGGCTGCAGTGACCAGGCCCTGGTCCGATTGAGAATAGCTGCAAACCACGGTGCCTCCTGCCACCATGATGGCCCGTCCCCAGCTCCAGGCTCGCAACATGACCCAGGTTCCTGTGGCCAATGGTCACAGGCCCAGTGGCATGAGTGAACTCCAAATTTAGGGCACCCCTCATGTGTCCACGCCCAGGTATGCTGGGATGGTCACTTGCCTGCTGCCTCCACCAACTAGTGGCCCCACACTGCAGGCCATGCCTCATCTGCACCCACCTCTTCTGGTCAACCTCACATGCATCTCCAAACCCACCAATCCCCTGTACTCAGTGCCCGCTCCTGTCCACGCTGGCAGAGTGACCCACCACAGTGGGATCTTCATGGCTGACCCTCTGCTTTCTCTCGTGGCATGGTCAGCAGCCTCAAACTTTCCAGCTATTATCTCTTAACCATCGTGCCTCCAGGCCGCTCCTCACCATCTACAGTCTCCTAAGTCCCTCTGCAGTCCACTGAGGGGTCCTCCGGGGAAGCTCTCATCTGGCTGTGTCTCCATCCAGCCACCAGGGGGTGCTCCAGCTATCCCTAAAGCCTCTGTTCTTTCCTTTGTGACCCCCAGACTCACCTACAAGTGGCTGTGGCACCCACATTCCTAGGTACCAAGAGCTGACCTAGATTTCAGGACCCAGCAGCTACTGACCAGGTGAAAGGGCAGGTGCCCACAGGACACCTACTGGTCAAAGAGAGCCTAGCCCTCTCCTCACGTTCACCTTTCTCCCTCTGTGGGAAGCAAATGACACTCACTGCAGGCCCCGCATCCTCACCTTCTCCCTCTCTGTGGGGAGACAGCTGACACCCGCAGGGCCCCTCATCCTCACCTTCTCCCTCTCTGTGGGGGGACAGCTGACACCCGCAGGGCCCCTCATCCTCACCTTCTCCCTCTCTGTGGGGGACAGCTGACACCTGGTGCAGGGCCCCCAGCCTCACCTTCTCCCTCTGGACATCACTCTTGATCTGGGAAATCTTGATCTTCATGGCGTCCAGCTCCTCGTCGGGCACCATGGGGATGCTGGGTGCGGCCTCACACTCGTCCACCATCTGGAAGCTCAGGTCCGTGAGCGGGATGTACCACTTACAGTCATAGTGCTGGGCTTTGCTGCGGGGAGGAGGGGATGTTGGTCACCAGCCCCCCTCGGTACCTGAACCTGTAGCTGCAGGAGCCAGAAGTGCTCACTGCCTTCAAAGACAGTTTAACAAAGGAGGGGACCATGTCCACTACTACCACGCTGATCCCTGCTCGGGACGACCCTGTGGATAGCAGAGCCCAGGGACTTTAGGGGCTGTGATCTCAGAGGGCCCTAATGTCTGACCTCTTCAATGTGAACCATTAAGGGTCTGCAGTTAACATGTTGCTGCACACTTCACTTGACGACAGTGCTTAGAAACACATTTTTTTTGCTGTCATTTGCGGCAACGTGTTAAGGGCCAGCTGTCCATACCACCCAGGGCCTCCACCCAGATCACTGGTGCTGGCCCATGGGAGGAATCCAACAGTGGACACTGGTGACCCATGCTGCTGGACTCGGACCTTAGCATACATGATTCAGGGTCTAAGTGTTTGATGCCCCCAGGTCCATCTGGCCCTGTGTGGATGGACTGCAGTGCCCTGGTCTCAGGATAAGACAACACTGAGCTGGACGGCTATAGTATGGCCTCACTGCCCTTGATAGCAGGGCCTGGGGTTCTGTCAAGGTGGCTGCTGGAAACCTGCAAGACGGCACAGGGACAAGTCAGTCCAGGGCCTTCCCCATGTGACTCAGGATGGGGTGGATTTAGTCCAAGACCTTTCCCACGTGACTCAAGACCATCAGAATTCTGACCCCCTGGGAATCCCCGGGAGAGGCCAATGAAGATCCTGAGGCTCGGGGAGTTTCTTTTTGGTAGGAATATCTGTCTTCAGGAGGGTAGTGTGTCCCGTGGGACACACCTCTCCCAGACTTCACCATGTGACTTCCTTTCCTGTCACAGTACCTGTAGTTTAAGTACTGGCCGTGTGCTGAGTTCCCTGGGAGCCCCAGGCAGTGGGGCTAGTAGCGCAGGCAAGGGGATCCTTTTAGCCTGAGCAAAGTGACCCACTCCAAGTAGCCAGGGGAGACGATGAGGATGGAGTGAGAATGAGAGCGCCAGACATTTCGCTGACCCCTCGGTATCCAGACTCCCACTCCTGCCCCAAGGCCAGGTTAACACTTGGCTATCCACTCCAGCTCCCCATCTTCTTCCACCCCAGACAGCTGGTGCCCAAGCCTCCTGCCCAGCTCACCCTCCACTCTGTTTCTTGAGCTTGGCACAGAGCAGCAGGTCGGTGAACAGGAAGACATGGCGCAGCTTGCGGGCCCCCTCCACCAGCTCCACCATGAAGCTGTCCTTCAGCAGCTGCCGGTGCTGTGGGCACAGGAGGACAGGGGACAGTCAGGCACAGGTCGGCTGGCTGGCCACTGACCAGCCTTCTGCAGAGTCAGTCCTCAGAGTGCCATGCTGCTGAGGTCCTTGGGGAGAGGCTGAAAGTCCCTTAAGGGGGGACGTTCCCTTCACCATGCAGATCTCCTTTCTAGATGAAGCTCAAATACCACAGTACCCCAAGGCGAGGAGAGCGCCCAGCACACCGGTATTGCAAACCCACAAAGGGAAGTGGACCCTGGAGGGGGCGAGGAGCCTGGAGGGGGTTACGGCAAGGAGCCCCATCTCTGGCTGACCAGCTCTCCAGCCCAGGCCTTTCTGTACAAAGAGGACCTGCTGAGCATGGGGAATCTGGTCTCAGTGGAGGCCTGAGGCCAGCTGTCTACTCCTCTTATGCATCTGGAACTGTGGACATACCTCAGGCTGACTTGGGGACCCAATGGGCCTGACCGCCTCACCACACTCTGTCCACAGTGACATTCTGGGTCTCCTGACAGGAAGGAGTGAACTCAAAGCCAGGGTCCTGGAGTCTCTTTCCTAGTATGGTCACCCTTTTTGGACCATACAAGGTCCTGGCACACACTATGGCAAGGTAGTAAGGTCCTTTCCCCGGGATGGATTTGAGCTCCAGGAGGGACTCAGTTCTGGGGTGGAAATGGGCCCTGGGGTGGATTAGGCTCTAGGATGGATTAGACTCTGAGTATATTTGGGTTCTGGGATGGATTTCTATTCTGGGGTGGATTTGGACTAGACTGCCACTTTCTGGTCAGCTCCCCTGCCTATCCAGACCAAGTCCACACATGGAATCTCCAAGGGTTCCACTGCCAGGACACCAGCACTGACCAGCACATGTCACAGTCACTGCCATTCAGACGCCTGGGACTGCCAATGGCTCAGAGTGAGCAGCGGCCATGTGCACCCACACAGGAAATGGCTGGCCTGTGATGACTCTGTGGACTCGGGCAGCGTCCTGGAGGTGGCAGGAGTCAGGGGTCTCCTTCTACATGCCTGAGCGAGATGATGACACCGTGTGTCCTCAGGATGAGCTGCAGCCCTGTCCTGGCCCGGGGACAGTTGGATCCATGTGGAGGATCCAGCCTCCAGGTACAAGTCCAGGTGAGGGGAAGGCCTGGAGGCTAACACCAAAGTCAGGGCAGCCAGAGCCAATGCCAACTCATGGGACCTGCAACCAGGTCTCCAGGGTGGGAAGCTCCAAAGGAGGAGACTTCCAATCCTCCTCGCATGGAGCAGCTGCTGGGCCTGAACTGCTGACCCTTCAACAGCAGTGTTAACGCTCTGCACTACACCACGCCCTGCAAGGCACCATCAGAGTGCAGGTGCCAATCATTTCCTAACAGTGCTAAGTCTTTGGGGTGCAGACAGCCTGGCTGTTAACCAGAAGGTGTAGGTTTGAGCTGATCTGAGGCATCTAAAAGAAAGTCCTGGCAACTGACTTCTGAGAAATGACCCTGAAGACCCCATGCAGCAGCTCTGCTGACACACATGGGCGCTGGGTGTCAGGGTCAGCTCTGTCTGTCCACGGGACAGGGCGTGAAGAGGAATGAAGCGGATGGCAGAGAAAATGCCCCACTCTCCCCGGTGGCCTCTCCAGCCAGAACCTCCCTGGATGTGATCGCACAGACAGAAGCCAGGCAGTGAGGAGTTGTGACCAGTGCTCTCTACAACCACACATGAGTGGGCCACTGTGCCTCATCCCAAAACTTCCCACACAGGACTGTGCCCTAGCATCTCAGTGCATAGTCTAGCTCTGGGCATGTGCCTCTCAGAAAGAGGTAGTGACCACTGCCACGTGCTGGCTGTTCAGCAGTGTCCCCTCAAGCCCCTCGCACCAGGCTGAGCCCCAGCTTTCCAGTACATGGTCTCAGGACAGCTCTGGACCCATCAGGTGACGGATGCAGTAACCACTGCTGTCTGCTGGCACAGATGAAAACGACCGCCAAGCACTGTCCTCCCAGGACCCCTGCACAAGGCTGTGCTTCAGCACCTCAGTGCACGGTCTCGGGACAGCTCCAGGTATGTGTCCATCAGGAGAAGGACACACTGGATGCTCAGCAGCTGACTCTGCAGAGGCAGTTTGCCAGGTCCTTCCTCTGAGGGTCTAGTGGCTGGTGACCCAGGGCTCCCCAGCAGTCCGGCCTCCCCACCCACCAGGCTCACCTCGCCTTTCTTGACAGTCATGGACTGCCGGCGGGGCGTGATCTCCTCGTTGATGCTGGACAGGAAGTTCTGTGAGATGCGTAGGGCATCCTGCAGCAGCGGGTGGTCAGGGTGGCCAGGTGGTGTGTGCTTTAGCAGGTCCTGTGGGGAGTAGAGCTGGTCAGACAGATGTGTGGACACACGAACAGGCTGCACAACTGCACCTAGGCTTCAGGTGGGGTCGCAAGGTCCTGGTGCACGCCTTACACACGAGCACGGAAGGCTGGCCCTTGACCCTGGCTGACGAGGGTCTTTGCTGGCTCACTTTGGGAAGGACCTCTCCAGCCTCTGCCATGGCTGCTCAGGCTGGATACTCAGCTGACAGCTGGTCAGCGTCAGCACTGGGGCCTCCACCCTCAGCAGTGAGGCGTGCTGGCCAGAAATCAATCCCAGGTCTTTTCCCAGGAAGGGGAGGCCTCTATCTCCCAGCTCTTCTTCCTGAGCAGAGAAGGCATGCTCCCTGGTGCCGACTGTCTATTCTGAGATCCGGTCCACCTCAAGAGACTGGTGTCGTAATGTCACAGCGAGGAGTTTTCCTCCCACGATGACCGACACACCCTAATGTGTCCCCTCATGACTGTGCCCACCCCGCAGGGGTGTCCAGGACACCAGAGGGCCCACCTGTACCCCACCTGCCCCCGCGTGTATGCCTGGCTTCCTCTGCATTGTCTGTGACGTATGCTGGGCGAGGGCAGTCAGGGAATCAGCAGGGTTGTGACTTACGTGCAGGACAAGCGTGCTGCGGGTCACCCGGTCCACAGGCTTGTACAGGAGGGCTGGGGACAGATGGCGGCTGTGAGGAGCAATGGACAGGCCTGGCCTGCAGCCGCCCCGCCCCCCCCTGCTCTGTAAAGTCACACAGTGAGCCAGGCCCCCCCCCACTCTGTAAAGTCACACAGTGAGCCAGGGCTGGGGAGAGAGCACCAGCCTGGGAGGCTGGTTATGTGACAGCCTAGCATGCCTCGTGATCTGGGTCAGGGGACCCAGGATGTGTCAGCAGCCACGGGAAGGGCTGGCAGCCGTTTCCCATCATGACCCCGACACATGGGCAGAGACTGCTCACTCGGAGGACTGTCCGGTGTGGGCACAGAGACCACACCCACCGGGGGACACTGAGGAATGGAACAAAGGGAACATGAGTCAGAGCCACGCTTGCTCTCCTCCAGGATGAGCAGAACTGCTCATAGGAGCACCTCTGCCCAGCCCAAGGAGGCCAGGCTGTGGGCCCAGGAGCCTCAGGACACTACTGCCCAGCTGGTCGCCCAGACTAGCTTTCGTGGTCACTTCAGGTTATAGCTTTGTTCTCTCACTAAAAAGAAACTAACTTCCTTGGCCAAGAATTGAATCTGTGTCTCTTGCTAGGAAGGTCAGGGCTCTACTCTCCTGCTTTTCACCTAGAGCAGAGGGCACTGGCTCCCAAATACCTACTGTCCATGCTTTCTGCATAGATCCCGGTACTCACTGTCCATCCTCCAGGGCTGCTGGGGATGGAGCCATGTCTGAATATGTGCCCGGCCAGCTCCTAGCCTTGCCCTGCCAGAGCTACGCTCTTGCTGTCCCTAGGGCCTGGCCCTGCTGGATAACCCTGTGCTCCCCCGATCAGGCACTCACTTTCTAGAGAGTTCTTGGTCATTTGGTCTTTGGAGTCCTTGCTGCTCTTGACACGCAGGTTCTGCAGAGAAAAAGCACACATCATCGGGATGACAGAGCAGCGCTGACGTGGCAAAGAGACAGCCCTGAACACAGACCTCACCACTTCCTGCAAAGAGCCCGGACATGGCCAGCCGAGGGGCCATGGTCCAGGTGACAGCAGACACAGCAGGGCAGTAGGAAGGGGGACAGCTGAGGGGCCACATTCAAGGTGATGACAGACACAGCAGGATGGAGGGGGACACAGGGCAGCCAAGGTCCATAGGGGAGGAGCCCCACCTTAGTATCTTGGGCTGGCATGACTGCATACTGCCACTTGATGCTGGGTGCCCACAGCCCTGCCTCCCAGGAGCCTGCACATGGGGACAGCCAGGCAGAGCCTGTACCTCAAGACAGCACTGATGCCCTGCACCTTCCCAGTGTATGCTGAGAAATGGGGCACTGACGTTCTCAATGGAGGAGAGCTTCCTGGGAATAAATTCCCTGACAGCAGAGTAGAAGGTGTCATTCATCTATGAGGCTTGCAGATGGGGCCCAGCTGGGATTCCAGGAGAGTGTCAACTAGCACATGGCTTCCCACGCAGAGCACAATACATGGGACATGTCACCAGGGGTGCATGTAGAGACAGGCCACCAAGGGCACATGAGGGGACAGGGCATCAAGGACTCACGAGGGGGAAGGCCTCCAGGGGTGCACATGAGGACAGGCCACCAGGGCTACACTTGGAAACAGGCCGCCAGGAGCACGCAAGGGAGTCATGCTGCCAGTGCTGCATGCAGGCTCAATCTCACCCACCAGCTCCCCCGCAGTGAGAACTCCTGCCTCCTGGAGGCTGACTCACCAGGAAGCAGAGGTGCAGGCAAATTTCAGAGACTGTACACAGGTGTGTAACAGGCTGGGAGCCCAGTCCACCCCCACACCCCCAGTCATGTTCTGGACGTCAGTCAAGTCTTTAGGCTATACCAGTGAGTGCTCCAGTCATCCTTGACTTCTGTATGCAAGGCTGCGTCATCTGCTTGCTGCAGACTGCTTGAGGAGTCTCCCACAGGCCTCGATCCACACTTCTTCCACAGCCCAGCTTCCTGGATAATTTGCTCTACATACCGAACAGGTACAGCCCAAATAACGCCTTCTCTGATTTTAAACCTCGCACAAGCTCCCTGTCTGTCCGAGGCCGGTTCTTGGTCCAAGCACAGGTTCCACATCAGCGGGAAGTGATCTGGAACTTCCATTCTTTGCAATGTCACTCATAATTTATTATGATTCATACAACAGAATGCTTTTGCATAATTGATAAAACACAAGTAAACATCTTTCTGTTATTTCATGTTTTCGGCCAAGAGTCCTCTGATGTCAGTAATGATACCTCTTGTTCCACATTTTCTGCATTCAGCTTAAATTTTTGGCAGTTTCTTGCCAACGTACTATTCCAGCCATTTTTAAATTATTTTCAGAGGGAGTTCTGGTGGCCTAGTGGCAAGAAGCTGCACTGCAATCCCAGAGGCACGTGGTTCGAATCCACCAGATGCTCTGCTGGAGAAGGAGGGACACTATACCAGTCAGATCTGATTTGACGGTACGCACAAAAAAAAAATAATGAAGGGGAAAAAAAGTACTTTCAGCAAAACATTACTTGTTGTTATATACCACTGAGTCAGAACCGACCCACAGTTGACCCTCCAGTTGGTTTTCAGAGGCAGTAAATGGCACAAGAGAAGACTGTCCATCTTTTTCCCATGATGCAGCTGGGGGATTCAAACTGCGGACCTCTGAGTTGGCAGCATAATTTCTTACCACTAGTATTGCCAAAATCCAGACAGAATGTGAGGTGACACTAAGAATCTAATATGTGAAAAAGGCAAAACAGTCATTTAAAACACAGGATGGAGAAACTAAAAGGGATGTCAAAAGAGATGGAAACTTGCTGTACAACTCAGAGAAGAATGGGAGAAGGGTGAAGCAAGAAAGTCAGGGAAGCTCACAGAAACAAGCATTAGGAAGAAATGTCAGGATTCAGACTTAGAGGACCAAAAGGGAAGAACATGCTCGGCATTTATTAGGTTGAATGAAATAAAGAACAAGTTGAAGCCTTGAACTGCAAAACTGAATGAAGGTCTGTATGGGCAAACTGTTGAATGACGCCATCATTTTGACAATCTACCTTCCTGAGGCTTTCCCCCTTGTTCATTTACCTTTCCAGGCATGATGTCCCTCTTCAAGGGATGACTTCTCCTAGCAACTTGTCCAAGTATGTAAGACAAAGCTTTGTCATCCTTGCTTCCAAAAAGCCATCTGGCTGCACCTTCTCTAAGATATATCTGTTCTTTTGGCAGTTCATGGTATCTTCAGCACTCTTCTCCAACACCACAATTCAAAGGCATCAATTTTTCTTCTGTCATCTTTACTAATTGTCCAGCTAAGATGCCTAACAGGTGATTGAAAAGATCATGGCCTGAATCAAGTGCACTCTAGTCTTCAAACTGACATCACTGCTCCTCAGAAAATTGGAGAGGTCCCTGACAGCAAACTTGTCCAATGCACTATGTCTCTTGATCCCCTGATTATTGATACCAAGAGTGTTGATTCCAGTTCCAAGTAGGAGGAAGTCACTGACAGCGTCAATCTTTTCTTCATCTATCATAATGTTGCTTATCGGTCCCAGTGGTAAGGACTTTGGTCTTCTTCTTGTTCAGATACAATCCAGGAACTGATGGAGTACCAGTTGTGGTGTTTTAACAAATGGATGCAGCCCTGAACGAGCTCACTAGTCCTTTCTCTCTTGCTTCCTCGATCATTTCAAGTGATGACCCTCCCTTGGTTTCTGAGGTTGTAAATCACACAGGAGGGGCCACCCTGCCTCTGGGTTAGCTGCACAACTTCCTACAGACTGTGCAACCAGAGCTCCATGCTCATTCGTCCACACCAAGAAATCTGGCGACAGACCTGGACAACTGACTGGAAGAGATCTATACTCCAGACCACTAAGAAGAAGAACCCATCAACAAACGAATGGATAGAGAAGCTGTGGTATATTCACACAATGGAATACTATGCTGCATTGAAAAACAGGGAACTCATGCAATATTATTCAAAATGGGTGACCCTAGAGGTCATTATGCTGAGTGAAGTATATCAGTCACAAAAGGACAAATACTGCATAGGGCCACTGTTGTAAAACAGGACTGACATCGGGGCTGAGGGAAGACAGAAAAGGAGGGGATGAATGATGCATACAGCATTGAAACAGATGAGGGAGAGAACTGTTTAAAAGGAATATATGATTGGGTATTATTGTCATGACACGAGTCCTGAATGAAGACTGCATAGTGGAGTAGACTTGGGGGGAAGGAATGCATAACAATGAAAAAGTCTGGTGCAACCACTGTGGAAGGCGGTATGGCGCTTTCTCAAAAAGTTGCAAATAGAGACACCATTTGACCCAGCAATTCCAATACTGGGAATATACCCCAAAGAGACCATAACTCACATCCAAGCAGATATATGCACACCCATGTTTATTGTAGCTTTGTTCACAACAGCAAGGAGTTGGAAACAACCTAAGTGCCTATCAACAAACGAATAGATAGAGAAGCTGTGGTATATTCACACAATGGAATACTATGCTGCATTGAAAAACAAGGAACTCATGCAATATTATTCAAAATGGGTGACTCTGGAGGACATTATGCTGCGTGAAGTATCCCAGTCACAAAAGGACAAATACTGCATGGTGGCAATGTTGTAAACAGGACTGACCTTGGGGTTGGGGAGAGACTGAGAAAGATGGGTTCAATAATATATACTGCACTGAAACAGATGAGGGAGAAAAGTGTTTAAAAGGGATATGTGATTAGGTATTTCTGTCATGACTGGAGTCTAGAGTGAAGGCTACATGGTGGAGTGGACCTAGGGGAGGGTTTGTAAAACAATGAAAGAACATTTCTTTTACTTTTCCAAGAGGGTAGTGTTCTGGGAGGGAGGGCTGGGAGGGGAGAAATGTGCAACAATGAATGGATGGAAATCCAAAGTCTCTGTAAATTTTTACTAAAATTAATAAATCTTTATATAAAAAAAATTTAAGTTAGAGTAAGGAAGGCAATGGATTTATAACTGCTCATGCTAATAACACTATATCATGGCATGGAGGAGGAATAGTGGAACTGTATCCACATTTACAATATTCTTCTTACCGAAACCATTTATGGAAAATAGGAACTGCAATGGAACATGTATCTCTGGATTGGAAATTATCATACTGTTAATATTTTTAGCCTTAAAAGATTATATTGTCCAAAATTATTTGTTATATATTTGTTTAAATTTTCCCCTCTTGTAACAACTGGGATCTAGAGGGAAGAGAAAAGACCAGAGAATGGACAAAATTATTGGGGCAGCTATTGTTGCCAGTTTAGGGCCTGTGTCAGGAAAAGGAAGTCTTACTCATAAGCAATGCCACCCAAAGGTAGTAAAGGAGGTTAGAACTGCTTCCACTGTGGAAAGCTGGGCCACTTCAATAGACAGTGTCACAGACGAGAGCCACAAATAAGCAAGGGAGTAGAGAGGAAGCTCCCACTCACTTGCTTTAAGTGTGGATCTGAAGGACACTTGGCCAAGGGTGGCCCACATCAGGTCCTCATGGCAGACAGGACTGACAGGCCCCAGCTCCCAGCTGGAAACAAAGGAGGACACTTCAACAATTCCGATCCTCCCAGAAGAGCTGTGGGTGAGCATTAACATTACTGGTAAGTATATTCGTTTTCTCCTGGACACAAGAGCCTATTATTATTATTTGGTTCTAAAAGCCCTCTGAGGTCCCAACTCTTCTCGCTATTTTTTAGTTGTTGGAATTGACAGAAAACCTCATAAGCAGTTCCTTACTTCACCTCTGCCTTGCATGCAGACTTCCGACCTGTAAAACAACCCAGTGGTAGATGGAATTTGGTCCAGGACTTAAGAACTTTAGAGTAGTGAGAGAAGATCATCACCCTGAAACCTACAGCATCTCTTTTCAGTAGGAAGTAGTTAAGAGAATACGCCGTCCCCTTTTCCTTATGAATCAGGGTGAAGTCTCTCTCAGGGAGGAGTGATACAGAATGGCAAAGGACACACTGACAAAAGGAGATTAATCAGAACTGGCTTTGCCAAGCACTGTGGCAATGGGACAATTACAACAGACTTTCAAGGGAAAGGAAAAAAAAGAGAGGAACGAACTGGGAGGGGTGGTTAGAGAAAATATGTAACAATGAATGAATGGAAATCCAAAATCTCTAAATGTTCATTAAAATCAATAAAATAAAATAAAAAAACACAATGAAAGTTTTTCTTTTACTTTTCAAGGAGAAGAGTGAATTGGGGGGGAGGGGTGGGCAAGGAGAAAAGTGCAATGAATAAGTGGAAATCCTAAGTCTCTGTAAACTCTTATTAAAAATAATTTTTTAAAAAAAGACCCAACAAAATATGGAAGTTACCAAACAATGTTATTACATCACATATAAGTAAAATCTTACTGAACATTCTGGACTGATTGCTGTTACGTGACACTGAGTTTAATATGACTCACAGCGACTCTATGAACAACAGATCTGAACCCTGTTCTATCCTGTGCCATCCTCACAATTTCAGACACACTTGAGCTCATTGCTGGAGTCACTCTGTCAGTCCATCTCATTGAAGGTCCTTTTCCAAGTATGTCTCTTTCCAAGGAATAGCTTCTAATAACATGCCCAAAGTATGTGAGATGAAGCTTCACCATCTCTGCCTGCAAGGAGCACTTTGGCTGCACCTTCTCCAAGACATATCTGTTCTTTTGCCAGTCCATGGGATCTTCAGTACTATTCTCCAACACCACAATTCAAAGTCATCGATTCTTCCTCTGTCACCCTTATTTACTGTCCAGTTCCGAAGTACTAAAATTTCTCCCACCCATGCCTGTGATATATTTTGAAAGATAGTCTTTGGGGATGACATGAACATGAGGTCATGATGGATTAGGGGGGGGCCCTAAACCCAATGTGCCTGGAGGGACATTTGGACATGCAGACACCAGGGCACGAGGCCACATGAAGACAGAGGCAGGGCTATGATGCATCTACCAGCTAAGGGTCTCAAGGACAGTAGCCACGTGAGAGGTTGGAAGGCCCCTTCCAGAGCCACTGGCGGGAACACAGCCCAACAACACATGGCCCTCACTTCCAGCCTCCAGAGACATAAGGATACATCTCTCTTGTTTTAAGACACAGAGTTGAGGGTATTTTATTACAGAAGACAAGAAAACAGATTCATTGGTGAGCTCTGGTGGCCTAGTGGCAAGAAGCTGCACTGCAATCCCAGAGGTGCATGGCCACTCTCTATTTGATAGCCAGTGCATAGGTCTGTAGGTCTGTGGAGTAGTTCCCCCAGAGGGCCTGCACTGGATTCTAAATGACTTGATTTTTTTAAGTAGACTGAGGTGCCTCTCAGCAGAGTTGAACTTCCAGCCTTCTGGCAGACAGGTGAGCACATTTTGAACCAGTGTGGTAGTCCTCCTCTCTCTGGTTCATCAAGGTCGTCCCTGCCTCCTCCATCTCTGTAACCTGCCTCTCCTCTCTGAGGTTCCCCTAATTTCCCTGAGTGTCCTCACAAATGTGCAAAACCAAGGGTATGCAAACAGCACATTCCAGAATGTGCCTGGTCAGATTCCCACCCAAATATGGGCTGAGGACCATGTGACACCCCCAAGGGGGGATTTCTACCACTGTGTACTTTCTATGTGGACAACCATTCCCAGTGAACCTAAACTTGGCCCTGGGGAACAGTAGCTTGCTTGTTTCTAACTTTTTTAACTTGTCACTGGTGACTCGTGGGGCTGGGCAGCGCCATGGGGGAGCAGACATGGCACTCTTAGATAACGGAGTGGTGTACACAGCCACAATGGAAAGTCAGCAGGGTCAGGCATCCCTCTTGGGCAATCCTGAAGTGGTACACAGCATTTAGCAGTCAAAGGAACTGTCTAGGCTGAGCGCTTGGACTCCGCTCCAGATTTTGTTTCAATTTGTCCTTCTAAAGTGGCCTCTCACCCTTATGTGGTCAGGAATGCAGCTCTGGACTCAGGGTGCTGAAGCTGCCAAGAGGCCCAAAGCTCCCAAGTCCCAAAGAGAAAGTGTCAGACAACACTTCCCCGAGGTTCCCCGTGAGCTGTGTAAGGGTAGGTGTGCTCGGCTGCTACCTCAAGTGCTGGCGGCTTGAGTGTAACCAGAAGCATGCTGGAAGAAAGGCCGGCAATCAGAGCCCAAAACATGAGTCACTCAAGACTGTGACACACAGGGGGCGTCACAACAAGTCAAGAGTCATCCTGACACAAATGACCACATGGGGTGTCACATAAAGTCAGTGATCCTGACAGAAACTACCACACAGCGGTCAGCACAAGTCACAGTCATCCTGACAGAAACTACCACACGGGGTGTCACCTAGAGCCAGTGACCCTGACAGAAACTTCACCATACAAGGATCAGCACAAATCACAGTTGTCCTGACAGAAACTACCACATGGGGTGTCACCTAGAGTCAGTGACCCTGACAGAAACTTTACTACACAGAGTGTCACTGAGAATTACACACTGACAGAAAACTCAACCATACAAGGGGTCATTGAGAGTCAGTCATCCTGACAGAAACTTGACCACATGAGGTGGCACTGAGAGACACAGTCATCCTGAAAGAAACTTGACCACACAGGGGTCACCGAGAGTGACAGTTGCCCTGACAGAAACTACCAACTGGGCATCATCGAGAGTCACAGTCTCCCTGACAGAAGCTCCACCACATGAGGTGTCACTGAAAGTCACTGTCTCCCTGACAGAAACCACTACACAGGGTGTCACCGAGAGTCATTCATACTGACAGAAATTTGGCAACGTGAGTTGTCACCAAGAATCACAGTCATCCTGACAGAAACTACCACACAGGGTGTCACCAAGAGTCACAGCTGTTCTGACAGAAACTCTACCACACTGGGTGTCACCGGGAGTCACAGTCATCCTGATAGAAACTAGTAAAAGTCCCAGGTGGCAGAAGAGCTTCTCCTCAACTATTAAGCTAACACTTGGGGGTGGGAACCTACACAGTGCAGCACAGCAAGTTCTGCTTAGCTGCTCCCCGTTAGGAAGGCGCCGTGGACAGTTCATGCAGGATCACATTGGGGCTGTAAGCTGGATCACCCCACAGTGATGGTGGTGGTGGAGACACTGCTGGGCTCAGGGAGGCTCTGGGAGACACTCTGCCCAGACCACCGCCAGGCTAGAGCTGCACTCATTCCACATGATGAGGACAGGAGACTCCTGGGACACGGATGGCTGGGACAGGACACCAGGCCACATCCAGGGTACGTAGGAGCAGCTGCTTAGCAAAGCAGACACACCCCCAGAACAGTCACCCATGCCAGGGAGCTGTCACCTGTGCCGGGGGGCTGTCACCTGTCCCCGGGCTCACCCACCCACTCCGCTGGCGCGCGTGGGAGCTGAGGCGCATCGTCACAGCGTGAGGTACCTCCGAGATCTCTGCAAACTGCACGTTGGCCTGGCAGCACTTCTCGGCAGTCTCCATTGCGACACCGTAGTTGTCCACGAAGGCCCGGTACACACCAAGCTGGCTGGCCTACAGGGAGAGGGAAAGACCATGAGGGCCGAGATCTCCACCTTTCTGGGGATCCAGGTCGTGCACCCCACTCTGCAGAGACCCAGGCACTGCAGGGAGCACTCCTGTCAGCTCCCGCCCACCTGCATCCCCCACATGGAGCACACATCTCCCCACAAGTGACAGGTGATGGTGACTCATGGCTTGCCAGGTAAGGCTCCCTCCCGAGCTCATCCCAACCCTCACCACTGCAAACGGTGTCTGCAGCGGAGCTCAAGTTCAAAGTGTCCTCTCTGCGCAGGTGGGGCCAGTGACCCTGAGGGACACAATACCCTGAAGGGTCACCTCCTGGCCACGGCAAAGGGCACGTAGTGTCCCTTCTTTAGGAGCTGGGGACAGTGCAAATGCAGAGGCAGAATCTCCCCTTCCACGTGGTGGACCCTCACGTGTACCCACCACTCCTCTGTCAGTAGAGGCTGCTGTGGGGCTGTGAGCCAAATGGTGTCAGCAGAGTGTCTACATTGAGAGGGACCAGGAAGAAAGTCTGCAGATCTACTTCCAAAACTCAAGCCAGGGAAACCCCGTGGGTTACAACTGTTCGATCTGCAGCTGATAGGGTGGAGGGCCACGGCCAGGGGTCACCACACTAGATTTCTCCTCAGCCTCCTGCCTGGTTCCCTTCTGGGGGATGCATACTGCCTGGACCTCCACCCCAGGTGGTCCTCTGCAAATTCAGGCTTGGGAGGGATGGCAGGCTTGGTGATACCACTCCCAGATGAGGTCGGTGGAAGCAGAAGGTGGCTCTAGAAGGGCCTGGCACCATCACACAAAAACCCCATCTCCACACTCATGTGCATTTACAGAGTGGTACGTTTCTGCAGCTGACAGGGTAGGAAGGTAACCAGCTGCCCATGGACCACCTGGGCTTCTGGGCCTCCCTACCTCAGGGTCTCGGGGTGCAAAAAGGATTCACACTCAAGGGGCACCTCCCTGCCTCACTGTGCCTGTCAACTGATCAGAGCCCTCTCCTGTCCCCTATGCAGGCCACCTCGGGCCTTGACACCACTATAGATCTCTGAGAGAACCTGTGAGGAAGGGCCAGACCAGAACTCCAGGGGCTTAACGCAGCTGTGCTTCCAGAAAGGCCAGGCCAGGCCTTTCTTCCAAGGTGCATCCGGGCAGACTCAACCGTGTCAGTACACAGACAAGCATGGTCACCATCGGCACCCTGAGAATCTCAGACACAAAGGAACCTCAGTTATCAAGAAGATTCCAATGATTTAAGAGTTCTCCCCAGGAGCCAAACACAGACACTAGATTCTCCGAAGAGAGTTGAAGTCATGACCCCACAGTGGTAAAAATCACAAACTGTTTAGCTGGGTGAAGCACCAGAGAGCTCCACACACTCATGGTGACTCCTCTGCACATTTGTGACAAGCGGACAAAAGGACTGAGCTTTAATAGTCTAGCCAGCAGCCCAGGGCCACAAGCACAGGCCCATGGAGGGAGAAGGCAATTTGGGGGCGAGATGCTTGGCCATCACTTGTAGTTTCCAGGGGCTGGAGGATCCCACTGGGCAGCGTCTTTAGACAGCTGGGCTGTCTCTGCTGCATTGTCCAGTGCCCAGAAACATGGGCAGGGACCCCTTCTGTTCCTAGGGCCCCCAGCCCAGCCTCAGTCCTCTTGCGCAGAATTTGTCACAAGGACACCTGCCAAACCAGAGGAACTCTCCGACACACATACAACTACTAAAACAAAAGATTCCAAGGGCTTCTGGAAGGTTTTTCAGAGATGAGCCTGCAAGTGGTAGCTTCTCAGGAAGAACCCGGTCCTCAGGCTGCCTGGGCTGACAGGAGAGCCGCCTCCAAGAGCAACGGAGGCCACTGCTCAAAGAAGAAACGCATCCACGCCAGCCGAGATGAGAGATGAGACTGGAAGAACTGACAAGAGTGGGTGGAAGGAGGGCGAAGCCCAAGTTCTTGTTAGAAACAAAAGCCAGCAGAGCTAAGAGCTCCCCACCTCCTCAAGACGGAGGTGAACCTGTCCAAGATGGCCTTCTGCTGAAAGAGCAGAGGGGCCCAGATAGAAGGCTGCCCAAGGCCCAGGGGCCAACTTCAAGGGACAGAAGAGGTGACAACTGCTCACAAGTAGAGAGGATGAGGGGTGGGGAAGCGAGAATGCCATGAAGGGAACAGGGGAGAACACGAGAGAATGCCAACACACTGTCAGAAAGGCATCAACGCTGCTGGGCAGGCATGAAGACCACACAGGAACCCAACTCACTGTGCAGACCATCACCCCAAAACCAACCAGATGGTATCAAAAGAAAGATATTTATGAGATAGGATGTAATAACAACTAATGTAATTAACAGTGATAAATAAAAACAATGCAGCCTCCTGCTCCCAGCCACGGACAGCAGAAATCAGAGCCAAACCAGCTTGTGTGCCACCCCTTCCCTGCCCTCCTCAGAGCCAGCCCCTGCCAAGGTCCAATTTGCAGGCAGTGCTGGGCAGTGGGAGGGGGAGCCTCGAAGCAGGACCCTGGGCCCTGATGATAGTGGTGGTCAGGTGTGGCAGTGCCAGGAGTACAGTCCGGGTAGCCTGAGGGGGCATGGCTGCAAGGAGAACCCCTATAGTGACACTGGCTCTCAGTTCTGGTGCTGACCACATCTGAAACTGATTGAAGGTGCTGACCATGAGGACCCCCTGGGGATCACCCCGCCTGCACTGCAGGATGCTGATGCCAGCCATCCTGTCCTAGGGGTCAGGGTTGGTGGATCGAGGCTTTGGGTACAGAAATGGAGGCCCAAGTGCAGATTCCTGGGTGGTCTCAGTAGCAGCACCCTCCTAGAGACCCCCCCCCCCGACTCTCAACCTCTGCACCAGGCACACCCATAGCACCTTCCAGGGGCCTCACCTCTCCCTCCACACCCAGGCAGTGGACATGACCACAGTGTTCCACCTCATCCTGCCCTCTGCACCAGGCAGTGGATGCACCCACTGCCAGGCTCCCCGCACTGCCCCCGTCTCAGGCAATGGACATGCCCACTCCCAGGCCCCCTACGCCACCCACACCCTGGGCAGCGGACACGCCCACTCCCAGGCCCCCACCCGAGTGGTGGCTGTGCGGCCTCACCAGCTTCTGGAAGAGGTCACCCACGCGCTGCTGGTGCCCCCACTGCTGCACGCGGGGCAGGAGGGCATCATAGAAGTCGCGGTGGATCTCGTAGAGCTCGGGCACTCTGAAGAAAATGGTCTCGATCTGCTGGCTCGTCAGCACCGGCTGTGAGGTGGTGGCTGCAGCTTTCAGTGGCTTCATGGGCTGGAGAGGGCACAGGTGAGGGGAGCAGGTGAGAATGCACAGGTTGGCGTACACAAGTGAGAAGACAGGTGAGGGGGGCCCGCTGAGAGTGCACACGTGGAGGGAGCAAGTGAGGAGCTATTGGTGAGAGGCGATCAGTTGAGATGGGCAGGTGGTGGTAAGAGTGCACAGGTGAGGGGTGTTCAGGTGAGAGGGAGTTAGGTGAGGGGTGGGAGATTACAGGTGAGAGAGAACCTGGTAAATGGGGTCCAGATGAGAGGTGGGGGGGGGAGCAGGAGAGGAGCTAAAGGTGAGAGAGGACCTACTGATGAGAAAGGACACGTGAAGCAGGCCCAGGTGAGAGGGAGCCAGGTGAGGAGCTACAGGTGAGGGGAAGCTGGGTGAAGGGTTACTAGTCAAAGAACAGGTGAGGGGTTACAGAGGAGACAACTGTTCTGTCAGATGCATGCTGTTGCTATTGTCGGCTGGCCCTGGATCTGTCTGGCTCATGCATACAGAGTGAATGCAGCCAGCCTCGTGCCATGGTCAGCTGAGGACGAGACTGCAGTGACTGCCGGTGTTCAGGGGCTCTCCCCCCTAGATCCTCCTTCCTGCTGTCTTAGTCTGGGAGCTCTGCTAAGATCTGATCCCCATCACCACATGTGAGCTTCCACTGACAGACAGGGGCTGCTGTGTGCGAAGTGCCCTGGTCAGAATCAGATGTGGCCTCCTATGAGGAGATCCAGCAGGGATCCAAGCACACACCTATGACACAGCTGCAGAAGGCACGGTGACATGACCTCAGTGACATGAGCCTGCACCCAAACACTGTGTTAGCCTGAGGGCCTTTGGCCTTAGCGTGAGTCACAAGCGTCCCCAGCCCTAGGGAGGCCAGCCCTGAGGGCTGCCTGTCCCTGAGCCATAGCTCCACCCTCTTACCAGCAGCAGCGCTTCCAGGTGGCTCAAGTACGTCTCCTCACTTGCCAGGATCCCAGACAGCACCCACTTTCTCATCTCCAAGCCCTTTTCCACGTCCAGCTCACCCTGCAGGAGGAAAGAAGCAGCCTCAGTGACCTCACGGTCCAGGGGCCCTTGGAGGCCCCGCCAGGTTCACCAGCACCTACTCAGTCGCTCAATATTGCCTCTTCAAATTCCAGAGGACACCCTTAGGCCGGACATACCCAAAAAGAGGTCATGGGAGTCTCGGCCAGGTAGGCGTCCTCTGCCACTGGTCAAGGAACAGGCATCCTGGGGATTCGGGCCAGGTGGGGCGCCCCCTTTAAGCCGCCTGAGCTCTTGTGTCCACTGTGGTGCCTGCCTTGCTCGGTGCCTCTCTGACAGCTGAGCTGCCCGCCCCTTGGGTAGACACAGGGCCTGGACTTTGACACATAACTTCCTCAACACACACGCCCTGCTGTCACAGATGGGGCACTGAGAACAAGGAATTGACCTTGTACCCAAGAGTACAGTTGAGCACCTGGCATATCCACACAGCAGATGACCTGTGAGCTGACCCCTCCTTCAGACAGCGGGGCCTCTGCTGGGCACCTGCCATGTCCAGAAAGCAGAGCCCAGGCTGGGTCACCTGCAAGGAGGGGCCCCACCCAAAGCCCAGACCTGCCTCACATGCCTAAACTGGGAGTCTCCGGGGGCCTCACAGTCAGGATCCTTTCAGGGGTCACTTTCAATGCACTCCCCCGCTCAACGAGCAGAACAGCTCGCTGGCAACCACCCGTACAGACAAGAGACATGTGCTGATGACGTCAGGGCAGGGCCAGCTGCCCACCTGTAGACATCTAGCCTCAGGAGTGGCGATGGTACTGAAGGCCATAAGACCTGCTTTTGAGTTTCCTCCCTTCCCTGCCACCTGGGCCCTGGTCAGTGGCCAGGCATCCAGTCAGGAGCTGGCCAATGGCACTGACCTGTGCACCTAGCCCTGTGCAAGCTGTCCCACTTGTCATTAGAGGAGGTGCCATGTGGGAGGGTCACCTGGAACAGTCCTGCCTGCTGAGGGACAGCCCTCAGGCCTGGAGGACAGGCCTTTACATCACATCTAGTGTAGGATGGACAGCCAGGAACACTGCTGCACCTCAGTGAGTCTGTGCTGGGAGGGCGGATGGTCCTGGGCACGGCAAGAGTGAGTGGCAGCCCATGCCAGGAAGTGGCGCCTGGGGCTGCAGACCTGTGGTGCGAGGAAGGGACCTTGCTGAGACGGCTCAGCCTGCCAGATCATGCTGTCCTTTTCCACGTCCCAGCCCTGTGGGAGGAGGCCTGACCTGGGTCGGGAGGAGGCATCAGGGGCCAGGCCTGCCCTAGGTACCCTGGCCCACAGGTTCATTGCCCTGAAGCTCAGCTAATCAGGCTACAAAGGGGTCTTGGTCATCAAGTCCCAGCCCGCCTCTCAGACAGGGGGCCTGGCTCTGCGTCCCAACCTGGACCGCCCTGGTCATCCCCTCGGCCATCTGCTCTGCATGGTGTATGTTGAGTGTGTCCCCTGTGAGAGTGCTCCTGTCCCTCTGTGCAGCCACCACTGCCCTGTCAGGGGGGACCTACGTGGTAGAGAGTGATGTCAGAGCCTCCAGACCAAGGGGGCTTGGGAGAAAAGCCTGGACACCTGCTTAACCAAACCAGCTGTGAGAACACTTGGAGGTGCAGCTAGGACACCTCACACACTTGCTGATAAGACAGTTCTGGCCCCAGGTCATGGTGTGGGCAAGCAGGACACAAGGGGCCACTGGCAGCCCCTCGGCCCAAAGTTCCAGCAGGAGGTGACGAAGGACGCAGGGCTAGGAGGGTCTGGCAGCCACTGGCCAGATCCCAGAGCTCTCTTGGCGTCCATTCCAGGGGTACTTCCCCTGGTGTCTGTGACCAGAGATGAGTCAAACAGGAGGGGGAGAGCCCAGTACAGGGAACAGGACACAGAGAGAGGCACTGCTGCAAACAGCGGCCCACAAGTGGACAAAGGGAGCCCATGCCCTCCTGGAGCCTGTCCTGTCTGATGTGAGGGGCTGACCTGAACCGTACCCACCCCAGGCCTATGTCCACTCTGATATGAAGGGCTGATCTGAGCCACGCCCTCTCAGAGCCCGTGTCCACTCTGATGTTAGGAGCTGACCCACGGGTGATGCAGTCCCATAGCCCCATGGTCATAGAAACCACTCTCCCCTAGTTCAGTACCCACAGAGTGGACATGGAAAGAGCAGGGCCATTCAATGAGCTCGTGGTGATAGCTGAGCTGCAGGAACACCCGTATCAGGACAGGGTGCCCCGAGTCCTAGCCTAGCTGCTCAGCTGTGCCCCCTCAGACGTGGGATGAAGGCTGGCCACCACGGGATCCCCAGCACAGCTGTCACGCCGGGAGAAGGGCGCCGCACTCACCCCTCTGCTGGACTCCGAGGCCCCCGTCGCATCCCGGCTGCCGCGGCCTTTGCCCAGGTGTGGGGAGGAGGCGGGCGAGTCATCGATGTAGGGCAGCCCGTCCTGGTGGCGCAGCTCCTCAGCATGGTCAGCGGCGCAGCCGTAGCCGGGTGGCGTCCCGAACGAGGCATCTGTGGGGACAGGGGTGTGGGCATCAGCCATGGAGGAGAGTAACATCTTCAGGCATCCCCCACACCATACTGACCACATCCTAAGGCCCTCCCACCCCACTGAAACAGGTCACCCCCAAACAACGCAGGACCAGGCTTCAAACACACCCTGGGCGTCCACTGTCTTCCCCAGAGGGTCTGATCAGTGTGATTCTACTCCTGGTGCCCATCCCCATGGCATCTGAGGTCAGACATCCCAAGAGGCAGAATCCGCCTCGTTTCTTCTCAGGCCTGGTGGACAGGAATCCCTGATTCTTTGGTTAACCATCTAACACAACCTATCTGCACCACCAGAACTCTTTGTGACAGAAAGGGGACCCCAAATGTTAGGCTCTCATCTCCCTGTTGGGGGACGCAGGCCCTGCTCCCACCCCCATACAGCCACCTCTCCAGCTGGGCTGAGAGAATTCCAGACAGCTTTCCCCACAGAAGAGTACTGAATATCCCATGGACTGCCAAACGAATAAGCAGCTACGTCTTGGAGAAAGTGCAGCCAGAGTGCTCCTGGGAGGCAAAGATGGCAAAGCTTCATCTCACATACTTTGAGTGTGTTGCTAGGAGAGGCTGTTCCTTGGAGAGGGACATCATGCTTGGGAGGGAGGAGGAACAGAGAGAGGAAGATCTTCAAGCAGGTGTACTGACACTGTGACTGCAGCAATGGGCTCGAGTGTGCCAGGAGATTGTGAGGATGGCACAGGACAGGACAGGGGTCAGATCTGTTATTCATACTCGACTCAATACACATAACAACAATCCCCCCCCGCCGCCAGAGTGCTCCCTTCACAAAGGACGAGTGGCCCTTTTCCAACAAGGGCTTCCCAGAAGGCCCTCTCCCCCTGCTGCTTGAGATCGCCTAGTTCCTGGATGGGGACAATGGTTACTCAGCCTTTTGGCTGCTCATCAAAGGGGCAGAGGGTTGTCTTTCTGAAGATGCCACAGAAGAATGGTGTGGGAAACTTCCTTCCCGAAAAGCAGCCTCTGAAACTTTGTGGAGGGCTGTTCTCCCTGACAAGTGTGGGCAGGGGTCTGTAAACCTGAGTCCACTCCACACCAGACAGCAGACCACACTGGCTTCCCTGCAGCTGCTGATGACAGCCTTGTCTTCCTCTGGGGCTGAGTCACATGCCCAAGGCATCTCTGGCCCTTGGCCAGCTTGGCCACTCTATGGTCACTGCAGTGCAGATATCAACTTGCCTAAGCCCAATCTGCTCTGTCCACACTTCTACAGGCACCCACGCACCCCGAGAGGTCCTCCCCAACTCAAGTGGTCACTTCCACCATGAAACATCCCCCACCTGACACTCACACTTCCTGTAGAGATGAACCCAGGGGCCCAGGCCAAGTGGGCATCTTCAGGCTTGCAGAGTCTACCTAGTACTCTTAGTCCTCCCAAATGACCAGCAGCCAGAACCCCCTGGCTGCAGACACCCAGTGACGGCCAGAGAAGGAACAGGGCAGGAGGGGAGGCCTGGGCCCAGAGGGGCTCCCAGAGACCCTGAGAGCAGCCAGGGCCAGCTCAATGTGGGTAGCCACATGACCACAGCCCAAGGGTTTGTACACAGCTGTCACAGAGCTGCCAGCAAGTCCTTGGAGTGGACGTCCTGTGAGCTGGGGTGCTCCTCCCCTGACCCCTAACAAGCTGCAGGCAGGCCCATGGGACCAGCTGCCATGGGCTGACCTGAGCCACAGCAACCTAGGTTGGAGCAAAAGAATGCCACCGTGTCCCATTAAATAATCACCCTGTCCCCACACATAACTCAGTGACATCAAGGTAGAGCTGAGTAGACACCAAACTGATGGGGCACTGCCTGGGCCCACAGCCTCTGGGACTGGGTGGACCAGGAGGTGTGATATCCTCTCGGTTATGTCCATGCCACTCCCATAACAGAGATCCGGCTCTGAACTGCCTCCCTACTACATGCTTCGCAGTAAATCAGAGCTCCCACCATGAGCCACATGGCTCAGTCCTGACTGTGTGCAGGGCCAAGGTGGGCTTTGAGACCCACACCCCGAGCCTGGGGACAGGAGGATCCAGGCAGGAAGGCAGGCCTGCTGGACAAGGACAGCAGGGATCTCTCTCCACATGCCCACAGCTGACCATTGGCCATGTTTATTTACAGATGTAAAAGCTGGCCAGACGGCGCCTTCCGGCAGTGTGGCCAGCTGCAGGGGATGCGTCTACAGAGGACAACGCCCTCGTCATCCGGAAGGCAGGAAGCCCCAGCCATCTGTGGCCTTCCCTCCTGGCTAGACTCCCTGCTGCCTAACGACAAGTGTGGGCTCCTGCTTCCCTCCACCTGGCGTGAAATGAACCATCATAAAGTGACAGGCATGCCAGTGCACGCAACCTGCTCCAGGCTACGATGACCACCTAGATCAACTCCAAGCCCACAGCCCAGTCCCCACTGCTCCCCAGGCAGCCAGGCTTTGCACTTAAAGTTGGACAAGGCCTGGTCAAGGGCCCTTCTGAGCAAACCCGATCTCCCATCTCTCAGTAAGCGGCTGAGCAGGCTCACCCTTTGTGCAGGCAAGGCTGCTGACCCAGCTGGAGCAGGCCTAGGTGCTCTGTCAGGCTGGGCTCTAGTGCGTCCTCCACCCCAGGTGTCCTGACACAGGCAGGGCCTGAGAGACAGGACAGCAAGGGCAGGGGCATGCTAATGAGGATCAGACCCCAAGGTTCTTTCTGCCACTGGATTTTAGGGAAGCTTCTAGAAGGCCTGGACAGCACCACATGCTTGCTGTTGGTTAGACGTCCAGCTGAGAATTCTGCCCAGCAGCTGGCCCTTGCCACCAATGAGGCTACTATAGCGTCAGCTCTGACACTCATGCTGCCAGCTTATCCCGGTGCTGTGGAGGCATCCTCCTTCTGCTGGCCACCTTGACCAGCCAGCATGCCCTTTCTAATGACTGGTCTCTCCTGAAGCCGTGGCCAAGACACGCTCTCTGGCCTCTCAGGAGGGCTGTGCTCCTACCAAGGCTGGCATGCAGGTCAGAGTCCTCCCAGCATCAGGCCAGGCCACAGCCCATCCACTCTCCCTCCTAGACCACTCAGCTCGCCTCTGTCCTGATGTCCTGAAGGGGTCTCTCTTGTTGATCGATGAGCAGCAGACAGTGGTCCCGACTGGAATTACAGGCTAGAAGACACCTCAGACCTAGAGGGGGGCCATGAAGCAAGAGGAGGCCACAAGGGACCCAGGGCCGCACAGGACCAGCAGTTACTATTGCTTAGCCAGGCCTTTATCTGTGGTCACTCCAGAGTGGTGGTCTTCTCTTCCCATCCAACTCTTTCTTCCCAAAAAAAGGCAGGTAGTGTGAGGACCAGGAGGCAGGATGGGTTATCTGCTATGGCCTGGTCACATGGGTTCAGGCCAGGGCCCTGCCCATGTCCTCCTCAACCCTCACGTCTAGGTCTCCCCAAAAGGAATGTGCAGAGCACCAGGAAAGGAGGCTCGGTGTCATGGTCATGGGGTCAAGGAGATTTGTCAACTCAGAAACCAGATGCCCAGTAAGACTCTAATAACCAAAACACAGATGCAATAGCATAAAGACAAAGAATCCATTCAGAATACAGGCAAAGGACTCGCAAAGACATCCCACCAGAAGGAACTGCGAACGGGCCATGCGAACACATCCTATGCCAGTCTCACTGCCATCGAGTCGGAACCACAGCTGACCCTCCGGGTGGGTCCCGAGGCTGTATACCTCCCAGGAAGTCAGTGTTTGTCTTTCTCCCTCAGAGCACTGGAGGAGCCGAACCACCAGAGTGGTGTGGGTTAGCAGCACAACTTCTGACCGAGATGCCAATCGCAGTTAAGACGAGAAACCGTTTCCCTCCCAAAGAGGATGAGCAAGACTGAGAAAACGAAAGCAAACACCACACATCGACGAAGTGAAGAACGCGAAATCCCTATCCACTGCCATGCGTGAGCTCAGCAGGCGTGGCCCGTGGGGGCTGTGCTACCTTTCAGGGGGTTGGAATCCACCAGCTGCTCTGTGAGAGGAACACGGCCAATTTCCTCTTGTGCAATTTACTGTTCTAAAAACCTGCTGTAGGGTCAGCTGTGAGTTGGTTCCAGTGTGATGGTGATAAATTTGGTCTAGAGTGCCCACTGCCAGGGGCACGCAGGACAGGCACTGCAGAAAGGGTGGCAGGACCATGGCAAGATGCTGCAGCTCACACCAATTCCCAGAAGCCAAGATGCCACAAGACACTTGTACCCAGCACTACCTGCGATGGAGAAAGACTGGCTGGGATGTACATGACGACTCTACTCAGGCCATGGCAGAAACAAAGTCCTGATACCTCACGGACAGAAGCTGAGACATGCTGGGTGAAAGAAGCTGACCACAAGAAGACAAAGCATTAACACCGGCATACAAATCTCTGTGCCTCAATTCTCATTTTCTCAGGATATATTCATTCCAGGGACTGGAATAGCTGGGTCATATGGAATTTCTATGTTCAGCTTTCTGATATAGTCACACAATGGAATAGTATGCAGCACGCAGGAACAATCATTTTGCAAATTACTACCTAACATGGGAGGAACTGGAGAGCATTATGCTAAGTGAAGTGACTCCGTTTCATAATGACAAATACTGTACAGGACCTTTATTGTACAGCGTGTACAAGTATCCAAGGGGAGGTGGTGCTTAATAGGGTCGCACAATTTGATGGAGGGAGGGACTGGAAAAGGAAAGGGGAGAGGTCTGGTGTGAAAAACAATGTATATGAACTTTGTATGTAAACCAGTATAAAATAATTTTTTAAAAAAAATTTCAAGCATGTAATTTTGTTTGGTTGTACAATGTAAGGAATTAAGCATATTTATATATGAATTAATTGAAAATTTGGTATAAGAGTACAGTACATAAACATTTGTAAGATTAAAAGAGTTTTGAAGATCAAGAGAGACAAAGGATTAGGAAAGACAAAGGCTTGCGTGGAATTCGATACCAGG